CTAGGTTATTAGTATAAGTATATATACTTAGAGGAGGCATGGTTGAATTGCCACATGTATAAATAAATATATTTAAAAGAGGCATGGTTAAATTGCCAAAGGTATAAATAAATATACTTAAAGGAGGCATGGTTGAATTGTCAATATATAAATAAATATATTTTTAATGGCATGGTTGATTTGCCAAGGTTCAATTATTGCTATGTGTTAGATGATTAAAATATATCATCTATGGATACTGCATGTATAGGTTGGATTTTGATTAATTAGATATTCTTAAATTAGAATAGTCTAATATTTTCAGGATAGTATATTATTTCATACATGTTAACAAAATATTACTGATGGTGACATGGATGATTTGTCAAAGCCTAGTTGTGTGATTTAAATACTTATAAATGATGGTTTTGGTCTAGGGATGATTAAGAATTAATCGTTGGTGAATGGTTTAATCAAATTAGTGAACCTATTAATTGATAGGATTACCGTTTTATATAAAAGTTTTTATATACTTATATTAAAGGTTAAAACTTTAATTAGGATGATTTTGGTTAGAGATGCTTTATTTATTGGTTTTCAGAGGCTTGGTAGAGGGAACTTGCTCGTGGGTCTAACCCACGATTTATTTTTCAGGTTATTAGAAGTTTCAGTCTCAAGGTTGAGGATCCGCAGCTGGGAGACTGTCATTCATCTACTCATCTTGTTTACCTTTAATTAGTATAGTTAATTATTGTTAAATGTTTTGTATAAACTGGTGGTTTATAAGATTTTGGTTTAGAGGTCCTTAACTTATGGGATTCCCGAGTTGTATAATATTTTCAGAATTTGAAACTCATGGAAATATTTTTGTAAAAGAGATTTTATTTTATTAATAGAATTCTATTCAGCGATTTAATCATTTTTTTTTTTTATTCCTCTTGTATTCTGTGTTATTCCTCTTGTATTCTGTGTTCGTTTAAGTACTATATTATTTTGATATTCTCGCATTTTCGGGTGTGGGCCTGGCCAGCCTACACGTGGAAATGTGGGGGTATCACATAATCCCTATTTAATGTTCAGGACTCCTCAAAATCAATTAAAATCAGTTTAAACGTTGTTTACGAAAATTCCCCAAGTAAGGCTCGAGCTTTTATCCTGGTAGCTCAAGCTTTCTATCCATGGCTCGAGCTTTCATCAATGGCTCGAGCTTTGCATCCAAGGCTCGAGCTTTTCACCTATGGCTCGAGCTTTGCTTCTAAGGCTCGAGCTTTTCACTTATGGCTCGAGCTTTGCTTCTAAGGCTCGAGCTTTTCACTTATGGCTCGAGCTTTGCTTCCAAGGCTCGAGCTCTGTAATAGCGAATCGAGCACTGTTACACAAATCAACCCAGAAATCCCACTGTAAGTCTGTTCTGCATTGTTAAGGGTTCAAAGGCATATTACTAAGTCCCATCAACACAGAAGCATGAAATTCATAATTATAACATGTAGAAATCCATAAAGAAATCCAATTTAGCCCATAAATTTATCAATTCATACAACAAGAATAAACATGAACATAATTCATAGAACCTATGTTCTAGATCAATTAAATTATAGATTCCAATTTTAATTGTTCTTTAAACATCCCTAAAGTTATACTAGAGATATATAGATCACAGATCGAAGGGAGAAGTGTAGAACAAGAACTTGACTTAAATTTTCGGATCGAAAGTTAAACTCCTTCTTCCTTGATCTTCTTCTCTAATGGTTTTTCGCCTCCTTCTTCCTTCCTCTTCCTCCTTCTCTCTCTAACTCTCTCTCTCTCCCTAAAATATATTATGTGATATATTTTCCAGCCCCTTTTACAACCCTATAGTTATATATTTATAGATAACTAAAATAATCCTAATCTTTTTCCCAATCCAAGTCAACTTAATAAAGAAAATAATTAAATTAAAATATTAAAAGGTAACTAAAAATATGTTATGTATATAATCTATGTATAACCTTATTATATAAATACATAAAATACAACATCAGATTATTTATTAATACTAATGTTACCATAATATTAATTAATAAATTACTTTTCTTTTATTAATATATATATATATATATATACACATATATAACTATCTATAAGTAATTATCCATACCCATTAACCCTCATATCCAAGTAGTTCATGGAACCTAACTAGTTGGCCATTACTACTAACCATAACCATAAAACAAAATAAAATAAAATAAAATAAAACAAAACAAAATAAACATTTAATCATTTAATCTACAATTAATTACAAATAAAAAACAACATCAATTAAATCAATCAATTCAAATAAAACACTTAAGCATATACTTTCAACTAATCATTTAATTTAAATAAAATATTTAATTATAAGTTCAATTAAACACGTAATCAAATAGCCAAATAATCAAGTAAATAAATAAAATTGTAATTAAAACAATTAAATAAATACCGAGACTATCATTTTAAAATTAGGGGTATTATAGGGGTTGTCCTTCAAACGCCATTGGAAAGGCCATAGGTGGCCTTGGTGGCGTGGTTGCAAATCATTGAATACTCACAAATAGGACCTGAGATGAAGGTGGTTGGACTATTGTTGGTGGAAGATACTGCACTTGGGGTGGAATCTATACATGCAGTAGAAGTGGTTGAATTATTGCTGGTTGAAGGTTCTGCACTTAAGGATCCACTTGAAGTGGAACGCGAACTGGTGGTGGTTGTGGCTGCACTGCTGGTGGAACTAGTCGTTGCTGAGTGTGTGGACGGGTTTGTTCATATTGTTGGGACCTTTCCCATTCTACTATTGCATTCCGAAAACATTCTTGGAACTTTTTCTTAAGTTTTTGGAAATATTGCTCACGTTCGTAATAAATAGGCTGGGACTCATTGAAATTCTTCTTCCATCCATTATCTCTAATTTCTTTAACCAGTGGTCCCACTGGGTGTGCCAATATGTTTGGCCACAAAAATTCATTTTGTTCCAAGTGGAAAGGTGGAAGATGCAGGCATGCCAGAATTCGCCGAGAATCCAATGGAGATGGAATAAAGTCAAACTATTTTCCAAATTTGGCCGTGAGAGGCTTGAAGTTCAGGCGATTGTGGAAAGCTTAGAATGACTGCTCTCGCTAGGTTCTTTTTGCCTTTATGGAAAAGGACTTCTAAAATGGAAAAATGAAAATGCTCAGTGAAAATGCTGCTAGAATATTGAAATGAACTTAATTGAATGTCTGAAATTCATTAAACTGGGAACTGAAGTACAAGTTCTGGAAATTAAAGGAATTGAAATACGCATGCGAGAAATTAAAGTGCTCAAAAAGTAAGATTACACTATGAAAAGATAAATTGCATGAAATGAAATGAAGAGAAAATTAAAATAGGAGTTTGATCTGTGTGGAGATGTCTTTTATTCTGTCCAAGTCTTTTATTTATAGCTAGTGGCAGTTCCATCTATTGTTGAGATGTTTCCAAGTGGAACGTCCGATTTGTGCCAAGTGGAACATCCGATTTGTGCCATGTGGAATGTCTAATTTTTGCCACGTGTCCCATGTCCCCCTTAGTCTTCTCACAGTGTTGGCACGTGTAAGAACATGATGTCCCATGAATTGCAGCTTTGAATGAGTGGTTTTGGTGGTTTAATTCTAATTGAAGGCTTCTAGCCACGTTCTGAAAGTGCCAAATGGAATGGACCACGATCTCCTAACTGCCTCTTAACTTGCATGTAACTACTTTCTTCTTTTGTTGACACGTGTCCCATTCAGTAACAACATTTCAACCGTAGAAAACTGCTTCCTTCTCCGCCCGCCACATGCCCACTTGGAAAGTCACACGTGTCACTTCATGATTGCATCCTTTTTTGCATGTCACCCTTCCACCGGAAACGACCACCCTTCCATCAGAATTGGCCATGACAACATTTCCAAACATGAAATGGTCGATAGTTATGGTGTAAACATATATAAATATAAAGTTTTATTTATATACATCTAGCTGACATCTAAATCATCTATGAGCATATCTTAGCATAGAAAACAGAAATAAATTAAAACTTTATAATAAAATAAAATAAATGTCAACTAATTCGCACTCAGCATAATAATAGAATTGCACCACGAAAAGCACCGTTAGTCATGTTTTTTTCTTCCCACAAGCCACGAACTTTTCCTTGGTCAGCTTCAAGCCACTTGTAACACTGCGAACAATGGTTGTGGCATGAAATTTCTTACTAAATCCATTTCCATTTTGAATTCCGTCATTTTCAGACAAATTTTTTTTTTTCTTACAAAATTAAAATCCCAGCAACAATGTTGTACCGGACAATGTTATTATTGTTAATTGTATCAGGAAAAAAGAATACTGTACAGAATATAAAAGAAAAATGGACCGATCCACCAAACAGTTTCGGTGGGCCCAGTCAACAAGCCCAAAAGACACTCACATAAAATAAGACAAGACCACAATAGGGCCCAAACAAAAGCCAACCAGAGAGGGAAGCAGCCCAACCCAACCTTCAATGGTTGTGAATTTGAATTTGAAGTAAACTCAATAATTTGATAAAATTTTCAAATTTTCCAAAAAAATATAAATCATTTAACACAAATGACAAAATGAAATTAAACCACATCAAACCAAATGAACACCTCATTCGATAACACAATTAAGCTAAACAAATCAAAATCTCTATAATTTTCCTTAATTAATGTTCACAAATGTATTGCTCGTCAGAGAACCCATATACACAACATAGCTTCCAGTCGGCAATACAGAACTCCAGTAAAACAGTACTTACCGATGATCAAGATATTGCACCCACAAATTAACGGCCTTTGATCCGTGCAAGGCTAATCGAACCAAGTGGACAGCATAACCATATATATATGTGTGTGTGTGTGTGTGTGTGTGATTTGGTTGCTAAACCACAATTAACTAGCCAAAATGATCAAATATCATCAATCCAACCTGCGAATTAACCGGTTTTACTATGCTAACATGCATGTCCACATATTTGATAACATATATAAGACAGAAAAAAGCAAGATTGACAAAAACATACGATCGACACCGTCCAATCTTCCTGATTTCAAATAACATCTCTAGTTAACCACTTTTCATGCCGACATACATAGCCATAAATTGAAGGTAATGAAAAACTAGGGATGTGTCATTAGACTAATAGATTTCTCCCTCAAACAAAAATCAGCCTATACAAAAAAATTGTTTATAATTCGGCAGTTCTCCAATTCATCTGTTTCTTTCACCATAATGGGACTAAATCCTATATAGTTCCTGACAACTAATCCACCGAAACTCTGACCTCAATGTCTCCAAAAACGGCCTTGTGGCTTTTGCCCTTGCTTCCGCCTGCATCAAAGACCAAATTAGAATGTCAGCCAAACGATGTTATCATAACACCCGCAAGTGTAGTCTAAGCTAGATAGGACATCTCCATTGATGGGCATAAATGGACAGCTTCCATTTACTATCATCTACAAATCAAAATGATCCATTCACGAGAGGTCCATCAATGTGGGTGTTCAAGTACTATCAATAAACGGTACGCAGTCAATTTGGCTTCCTAAATGAGAGGAGACAAATGCCTATGTAAATCAACAATTTATTATCCGAAAATTAGACAGCATGGAACGTATATTGTAAAATGGAGCAATCACGAAGATCTCCAAATCAGTGAAATGAGGTATCAATTGCAATCCTAACATTAGAAAACATAAATTTCATAAACAAAAGGGAAGTTTGCATCACAAATTTCTAGTCAAGTACTATACAGTCAACTAGTTTTCAAAAGCAGCACTGCTACAAATTAATCATTCCTAAAAAATGGTATTCACAAGAAAATAGAGTGATTTAAAAATCCTACAAATAATCCCATACATCCAACAAATCCACTCTAATCCCGTATCCCTCACTTCTCTTCCACCCATAACATTGTTAAGTGGCATCCTTCTCGCCAACGTTATTTTCAAATGCTTAAATAAGGAGCACACAAAATCAAGAAATTCAACTAATGAATACTTCCTTGATAACCCACTTAAATTAGATGCATAAAACCTAATCAAGCAGGATCTCCCGTGTGTTGAGTTACACAATGAAAAATACAGCTCAAGACACCGTTAAAGATATAACAGAATAAGATCCAATTAGCAAGTCACATACATATATATAAAATCCATGCAAAATTTGAAATATGGAAGGAATATGTAGCATTTTGAACAGAAACCACAAGGTCCATAGCCAGAGCTTATTTAACCAGTACCTTACAAAGGTAGTTGGCTAAACATAATTGTAAGTGTTCAACTACGCGTCTGCAAATAGTAAACACACATATTGGAAGATACTTTTACCTCTGGAGCTCTTTGGAACGCTCAATGAACTCTTTACCAATATCACGCCCTTGATAAGAGGCTAGTACAGGACGGATATCAGCTGGTCTATGTATAGCAACATCTGCAGCAAACCATGCAGATAATTAATCCTGACATCTAACATAAGTGTAAGCAGTAAATTCGACAAACATGATCATCAAGAACACAATAGTGCCTTCTATAAATATATAATATAGTCTGATAATGACAGGATGCTCACATTCAAGAAACGGGATAAGATCCAACAGTGCTGTATCATCTTCTTCAACCTTCCACGGCTTAATTGGTACATTGTTCTCTGGCTGAAGGCTACTTTCAAGTGCATGACCACTCACGTAAAGAATCCTTGAAGGGTCTCTATTCAGCTTTGAAAGATCCTGCCACCAGGAACACCTTATTAAGAGCATTTCTCCTTTTCATGAAAGTAATATGGCAAGTTGTATCTATCAAGTATGAAGCATCCATCTGAACAATGCTTCACGAGGTAGAATTATATACAGTCACAGGTATGTTCATTCTAAACTTAGTATATATTAAAATGATACAAAAAAAATAAAAAATAAAAATTCTCCTCAAACTACCATAAACAATTCAACCACATGTCTAGGTTAAACCTATGTCTCTCACTCTTGAACTCTCTTTGAGAGAAAGCAAAGGGTTAAATGTCAGTATAAAATTTAAGAGATTACAGAAACCTATATTAGGGAATTATCGATCCCCCTCAAACTACCAACAACATAGGAAACCAGATTTCGAAGACTGGAGTTTTACCCAAAGATAACTCTGAAGCATGCTTCATGACTCACTTTTTTCCATTCAGACCTGTGAACCCCCTTGACTAGAACAAGCATCCTTCTACCTTAAACATGAGTTATAATAAACTGGACCAGAACTCTACAGCCCATCCCAATTTGTCAGCAAAAACAGGAATATATAATTACTAAAAGTGGTGTATAGAGTGACATGGGAAATTTGATAAATTGATTAGCATAATCTAACCTCATTTCTCTTTTACCCAGAAATGTGGGATGATACTATAACGAATAATGAAAAGATTGGCCATGCAAGGTTGTTAAAATCGGGATTCTACGTAAAATCGTTTTGGGCTCCGTAGAATCGGAATCGTAGAATCGGATCGAAAATCATAAGATTCTACCAACTAGTGAAAAAAATAATTCAAACTAACTTCTTAAACAATATAATGTGTAAAATATAGCAAGAATAAGGCCAAAACACACACACACACACACAAAAATTTAAAAAAAAAAAAATTAAAAAAAATAAAATAAAAATTATGAAGGTACCATTCCAAAGTTCAAATATAATATAAAAGGGAATGTAGCTCAAAAGGTAGAGCTCTCATGACAACTATACAATTTGTAAGTTGTGAGGTGTGTGAGAAGATCAAGGTTTGAATCCTAATCCATCACATAAGTTCACAAATCCCAAATCCTAATCCAAACTTCCAACAGCTCCCTTAAAAGAAGAGAACACAAATAAAATAGAAAAGGAACTAAACATAGTTATTAGTTACAAAACATAATGTAAAGAAGTAAAGTACAGAACAGAATTAAAGGGTCCATTCTTCATGCTTAAAAAAAAATAAACAATTGATCAGAAACAGGGAAAAAAAATAAAAAATTTGAACAGCAACAGAAGAAAATAAAATAAAATAAAATAAAAAATAAAAAATAGAATTGGGGATTAGGGCTAAATAGTTTTTTTTTTTTCTTATTTATATGGACTTTTTTTGGGCCCCAAAACTGTGGACCTTTCTTATTTAGAGAACCCAACACTTAAGAAAGTGAACCAGACCCAAAAACAAAGCCCAAACAAAAAATATCTCAGAATCTTCTATTTGCGATTCTACTACGATTCAACACGATTCTATACGATTATGCACAGGGAGCAATTTCTATACGAGTTGACTCGTTTTGGATTGGTAAGATCGTAGAATCGTGCGATTCTACGATCCAGGATCGCGATTTTGACAACCTTGGGCCATGTAAGCGCCCCAAAAAGTAAAAGGATCATTACACTTTCTACATGGTAATTAATAAGATAATTTTTATTTGTGTCACTTAATTCATTGAGGAATGATAGATAACGCGAAAGAGAAAACGCGAAAACTCCCCAAATCTGACTTGGGCCACTTGGCTAAGCCACGTCAGAGTTAAAAAAGAAAGAGTCATCTCTTACATGGTAAAACTGAAAGGGGGAAAAAAAATAAATAAATAAAAATAAAGATGGAAAAAGAATAGTGCTTCCTCTTTCCTCTCATTAACTGGAAACTAAAATCTCTTCCTCTTCCCCATTACCATAATCCTAAATCACAATACATAACAGATTATAAATGATACTGTATTTGTTTTGTTAAAATCAATAATTAAGGAAGTTTCGACTATTAAAATGATTTGACATATTCAAATTGTATAGTTCGAATTTTTACCAAGTAATTTCCAGTTAGTGATTTTATCTTTTGCTCTCTCCCTCCAATTTTGGAGAGTTTTTAGTTTAAGGGGAAAGAGGAAGCACCATGTTTTCTTTTCTTTTTTTTCCTTTTTTTTTTTTTGTTTCTTTCCTGTGTTTTTTTCCTTTCAGTTTCCATGTAAGAGATAACTTAACTTTTCTTTTTAACTCTAACGTAATGACGTGGCCTAGCCAAATCAGATTCGGGGAGTTTTCGCATTTTCTCTTTCGCGTTGCCTATCATTACTCTAATTCATTATATAATTGTTTGTATAGCATGAAAATGAACAAAACTTGAGTAAATAAGGTAAGCACCACAAAGTAAGAAACATGGCTGTTTGAAAGAGCTCCAAAAACAATAAACATTGTTGCCGGATTCATTTTGGACAGACAACAAAACTGTCTACTAATTGCACAATTCAGAACTCAAAGATAGAAAAACAGATTACTTTGTGAAACTATTTTTAGCACCTTTGTCACCAAACAATTCAACACCACCAAGCAAAGTCAAAGTTGCAGTCCATGATTGCAAGAATCCAAACATGTGGATATATAAAATAAATCGGAAGGATGGAACAGAACCAGAGTTTAGCAGTGCAATGTGGATCAACATGATAGTTGAACAATGCATTCAAGCACAAAGCACAGCCAGCTCCATTACTAGGTGCAAACTCTTTTAACACTAAAATGCATACACAGCACCTACACATGAACCACATTTTTAATTTAAAGAGCAATGATATTTTAAAATAATATCATATTTCTTTACAAAAATTAAAAAGATTCCCCATAATCGACACAAATATACATGTAGGGGCACAACATCAAATGGATAATTTGGTATAATAACAAACTATATGACAATCTCCTATGAAGGAAAAAGAAGCAGCATATTATGATGACCACAAAAGCTCTGGAAAACTATGTGATAAAATAAATGTCACATGTAATATGTGAGGAAAATTATCAACTTACTCTATAATGCTTCCCGTCTTGATATCTAGTTGCACTCCTCGATAGCCTATATCTTATACATTGCTTCGAATCCAACCTGTCAACAACAGGATCAACATACTGCATATGCAAGAAAAACAACGTTAGTGTTAATGGTGAAACTTACAACCTAAATAAATGATGACACAATATAGGGAATAAAGAATCAAAATTACCATACTCGGCAGGTCTGAATACACTATAATTTCATAAAACTGAGCCAGATGTTCCAAAAAGGCATCAACTCCAGGCCTTTTGAATGTTCGCCAGCCTCTATCACGCTTTACAAAGTGAAAAAAGGAATAAATAGATAAATAAAGACATTAACATCATGCAACATATAAACAAATCAACCATGCTAAACCATTTGGAATAACTGAAATCTTTTGTAGGACTATCATAGCTCCAAAAGGAGAGTCAAAAAATAAACCATTGCACATGATGATAAAACATATCCATAATAAATGTCTGTAGTAATGCCATACAACCATTCTATCAATTTTTAAAAGAGTTAAAATAAAGAAAAAATAATAAATCAAACCATTAAGAGTCAAACCTTACCTTCCAATCAGAGTATAATAGTGTCTCGTTGACATCTAACACAAGTGTAAACACATGCTGCTCCATGGGGTGCAAATCAGGAAGGAGCTTATCTGAGGTTGGTTCCGTAAAACCCTATAACGAATCAAGAAGACTTTAGATTCGTTCCAAACAAAAAATGAAAGAAAGAATAAAGAAAAATAAGAAAAAGCAATGGAAAACAAGATAAAGTACCAGTCAATATAAAGTATATAACTACTTACTCGAACATGCTCCTCAATCGACCTCCTCAAATCTAAGTAAAGTTCAACTGACTTAGCAGGCACTGAAATACACAGAAAGGAGGCAAACTTATGATGATAATTGATAGTAAGGAAAGAATGGCAATATGATAATGATGATGGTCACAAGGCATAAGCTGAAATTGGAATTTCGCAATTAACAAAACAACATTGTGGAGTATGTAAATGTCATTTTGCCAGTGGAGACAGTAGAACTGTAGAACGTACATAAAGCTAAACATATAGCAATGACCCTAACATTTCTGTGTGAAGCATCTCCTATCCTAAGGCATGGTTTTGTCATTTGATGGGTAACAAGCCACAAATTGAGAAGAAAGGAAACAAATTGGGGGCACACTGTTTGTGCCACAACCACCTATGTCACATGCAAACAAACTCATCCATGGAACATCCAGTTTCCACATTACTAGCTCTGGAAAACTACTATAACAAAAATGACAATATTAGTAATCTTTGAGTTCTTCAGCATTCTAAATCTTGGAACAGTTAAAATATCTCTTTCTTTTGCATAACAACAAGAACAAACTTCAATAAAGATTAGGTAGTTCTAGATGTTCACACATTCTAAGGGCATTTCTTGAAGAAAAAAAACTGATACACCTCTCCTTTTCACTTCAGTAGCTGAATTTAGCAAACATAGGCAAGGCTAACAAGTGTCTGTCTTACAAAATGATGATATTTATATTACTGCTTTGAAAGAAAAATACTGAACAATAAAATAGATCTATATTGAAATAAACTAATCAGTTAGAATTAACAATTAAGTATAATATACCTAGCAATAGATGCTCAGTCCATAAGAAGACAATACATAATCTTCGAGGAATAGAACGCATGAACATAAAAGGAGGAACAAAGTATTTGATTAGTAATATGAATATGAAAACAAACCCGACCTGTCATTGCAGCAGAATAGAGCGAACCTTGAAATTTCTGCACAAGTGATTGACAGCAAAATGTTATTCTCTGTGTTTCATAACCTTAAAACCATTGAAGTAACAATGGTAGTGTATTTGTACCATAAAAATGAGACTCCAATTAGATACACAAATCCTTGCATGCACCTATATCCACACACAAACTAACAAGACTGTCCATCCCAAAGCTGTGGTAGCAAAGTAGGGGAGCGTTCGGCACGACATTTAAAAGAAAGGGAGAGGGTCAAGGGTTGTTCAATTCTTGTCATTTAGGGGACTAGCTATAGTGTAAATGGTAAGGTAATACAAAACATTGGCAAAAACATATAATAGTTCAATTATTTGCACTTGAAAGAGAAATTGGCACTCAATCAACTAAACAATGTCTGTTATCACAATAGTTGATGAACTAATCAAGTAATAACTTCGTGAGCAAAGTAGCTCCTTTTTTCAAAATATATGTTCTTCTATATCAATAGATTGATATTCTTGACTCCTAAAATTGCTTCATGACCAAAACAGCTTCTTGCCTGGTTAAAACACTTAATTTCTCTGGGATTTCTTAAATTCTCTGGGATTTGAAATTGCAAGTCCACCACCATGTCGATATTACTAAAAATTACAATCCCAAATACATAATTTACAGCCAAATAATAGAATGTTATGCAGACTCACATCAAGAGCAGATGCACCATCCCCTATGGTATAATTTGCAGATGCACGCAACGTCTTTGTCTTCTCATCCACCTCATCCAAAGTATAAGCTGCAAATAAACAACAGATATGATTGCGATCGTAGTGAGTAATGAATTATTGGTCAATATGCCAAGCAACAGCATTTTGTTTATAAACTAGTCAAAGCCCTTGACACCATGAGCCCTTCATTACTATTTTTTAGCGTCTTCTGCATTTCATAACAAGAAATTGACTTTGCAACATCACCCAAATTCAAACTTTCAAAAAAAAAAAATCACCCAAATTTAAGCAATATTAAGTGATGACCAATACAAAGCAAAATTAGCAACAGAAAAAAAAAATTTAAAAGAGGAAAATATTAACATCCATAAAGACCAAGATATAATTTTTTTCTACAATAACAAATACAGAACTAAATAGGACTGTTAAGTTACAGTTATTATCAAACCTTCATGCTATGCATGTTCTAAATTCTCTGAAATCTCCTTACAGTGTTCAAGAATCGCTAGACTGATTCAAGAGTCATCAATCCCCTTTCTTTGTTTCGTTCAAGAAGATCTCCAAAGAAGAAGAAGAAGAGAGAGAGAGAGAGAGAGATAGGGAGGAGGAGGAAAAAGGAGAGATATACTGATGCAAATAATATACAGGAAAGATTTAGAATATACTAGGGGGGGGAAAAAAAAAAAGGATAATTGGATTCAAGGCCAATATTGTCACTTGGAAACATTCTAATGTAGAAGTTGCCAAAGCGATGAACTACCTTTAAATTGTATTGCTGTTTTTATGTTTTAAATTTTTAACATCACTTCGATAATTTTGGTCTAAGAAGCACGGATATGACACGACACCGACACGACGACACGGCAAATCCAAAAAAATTAGGACACGGACACGACGAATAGTATATATATATATATGATGTAGTACTTTAAAAATTACTAAGTGTTGCTATTTTTCATCAACCTCACAATGAAAAAAAAAAAAACACAAATCATAACTCATAACTAATAAACTATAAAAGAACAATGTTGCAGAATTATAAAACCAAATAAAAAACAAGACATTAGAATAATAACTAGTATAATTTAATCGTCATTGCAACTTTACTCCAAATACAAAAGCATAGACAGAAAGGACTATTAACTAAGAAGCACGGACACTCCAAAATGGGCGAAGAATCCGTGTCCGACACGTGTCGGACACGGATACGCGTCAGACACGCCCCGACACATGTCGGACACGCCAAAAAACGTGTCTGGAATTTTTTTATTTTTTTTAATTTTCGGACACGGCTTGGACAGCTCGGACACACTTTTCTGGAATTTTTTTTTTTTTTTTTTTTAATGCTGATATTTCATTTTTTTTTTTTTTAATGCTGATGTGTTCTATTCTTTGTTTTGTACTACCCTAAAGATGCTGATATATATCTATACTAACCTAAAGATGCCACAATTCGCCGTATCCGTGTCCTAAAGATACTGATATATATATATACTAACATATCAGTGATATATATATATATATATATATATATATATATATATATATATATCAGCATTAATAATTTTTTTAAAAAAACACTGATATGTTTAGGTTGGAATATATATATATATATATACACACACTATTCGCCGTGTCAGTGTCCTAATTTTTTTGGATTTGCCGTGTCCGTGTCGTGTCGTATCCGTATCAGTGCTTCTTAGACTATTAACATTCAGGACTGTTTAACATTCAGGACTTTACTGTTAGCACTTAATATTCACAAAAACCTAAAGGCTAGTCCCCAAAAAAGATACAAAAACGAAGTCAGTGTACTATCATCTATTCCCATCCATCATTTGACCTAGGACTTTTACCATTTACAATACCAAAAGGGTAGTAAAAAACAAAAAAAAGAACATATCAGCATTCAAAAAAAAAAAAATTCCAGAAGTGTCCGTGCCGTGTCCGCGGAGTGTCCGTGTCGTGCCCGAAAATTCAGAAAAAATAAAAAATTCCAGACACGTTTTTTGGCATGTCCGACACGGATTCTTCGCCCATTTTGGAGTGTCCGTGCTTCCTAGATTTTGGTTTTGGGCAGTAGAATGGGCTTCCATGTTGGACTTTTGACTGTGAGCTTACTTATGTATTTTATGGCAGGGTTTGTGAATCTAATGAGTTTAAAATGGTCCAAACCATTTTGTCAAATTTGGCCACCAGATTGCTTGTTCAGAAACTTCCCTTGGTATCCCATCTCTAGAACTTCATATAAGGTGAAGAATTGGCCTTCTCTTCGAAAATAGAATAAGGAAATCCTTTAATTATATTAGCTGTGAGCCTGTGATATGAAGTGCATATTTTCTTTGGTGTCATTGCAATTGCCAAGGCTTCTCACTCCTACTTCCATTCTCTCTCTTAAAATTTTCAATCTTATTTCTCTAAGTTGTTCCTTCCGCTCTGATATAAAGTTATTAGTGCACAGAACACCGATCTTACATCATTTACAATTAACATGAATTATCAATTACCAACGTTTTTTTTTTTTTTTTTTGATAAGTATCAATTACCAACATTTTTGGTTTCTAAAACACCAAATAGGAGTGTTAAATGTTTCTGGACTGTTAAACCTTCAAGCTAAAAATGTTCCAAAATTCTCAGGGTTCTCAATTCTAGAGAGCTCTAAGAGTAGTTTGATATTATTTATACTAAATCCATTCTCTTTCTTCTTTCAGTAAAAAATGTTTCTTCTAGAGTGTTCTAAAAAATAGTTTGTTCCTTCCTCTAATGTAAAGTTACTAGTGCTGAGATTATGGATCCCACAGCATTTAAACTTTACATAAATAAAGAAAATATTTTGTTTCTAAGTACATGTACACCGCCAACTCACATGCCCACTATTGTCCCAACGACTTGAGAAATTGAGCTAAAGGCTCAGGACTATAAATTGTAGATATTTAATATAAAAATAAAAAATAAAAGGAATGTAATTATTCAGCCATTGCCAAACCGCCACACTTTAAATGTTCTAAACTTCTCTGATCCGTAATAGTGCTCTGGAAATACCATGAAGTAATTTTTACTAAATCCCTTCTTATTCAATTAACGTCCGCAAAGAGAAAAAGGTTTACACTTTACAAGAATTATCAACAATTTTGGTATTACATGCATAAATAATATATTTTTACTTCTAATAACATTTGCATATCAGATATAAGAGATAGTTCCAGATGTATAAGTAAGGAAGAGAAAGAGAGAGAGATTAAACAAAGAAATAACAAAATTGACTATTACAGGAAGAACTAAACCATAAGTAGCATAATTAGAAGCAAGTTCCTGTAAGAACTCCATTTATTTCGATATAGATTCTTTGCACTAAAAATTGTTTTTCTTGTAGTATGCCATTTTCTTTCTCATTTGATTGAATCAAACTATGAACATTATTTAGTTTACAAATACCAAGATGCAGGAAAGGCACTTACATAAGCATGTAGAGGACATTCATATCGACAAACATATTTGCAATATAAGCACATTTTTAGTTTGTAAATGAATTGAGTATATTGAAATGTAGGCACTCGACTTCTTGATGTAAATATCAAAGAAAGTGGAGTGTCAGAGGCTTTTTTTTTTTTTGAAGTGCTAATTAATTTCCCTATATATATGCACATATGTGAGTTACATCTACCAGTGTATTATGCGCACACATAAACACATAATTCTCTATGTTATCTTTTGTTCTTTATGTTTTAAAATATCTACATTCTCTGAGTTATTTTCATTTTGGTGTTGTTTGATAACCCAATTCAACACTTAATTTTGAATGGATTAAAAGGTTATTAATTAAGTGTGTTCGATAATGCATTTTAAATGTCACCTAAAAAATAAGTTTCACTTAAAATGAGGAAAAGTTTTAAGTGACAGTGACTTCATTTATCACTGATTGTGAAGAACACTTAAAATCTAAAAAAATCTCAATTTACAGTTACCTTTAAAACTTCAGCACTCAAACTTAAGCTCTTAAAATTGTGAGTACTTTATTTTTAGTTTTATCAAAGACTTCATAAAATTGTGAACAAGCGCCAAACACCAGAAATGGAATCTTGAAATTCTAGGTTCTGTGGTTAGGTTTCAAATTATTCACTTTTCAGCGATACCTAAATGGTTCAAGATCGTGCTTGTGCAATTATAGAAGCGAATTTAAGAACAATATTCTGGTTTCAGAACACATAAATACATGAACAAAAATACATTTACAAATATACCGAAATTGATGTATAACTAGTGCCATATACCGAAATTATTTTCTTTAATCATTTGCTGTTTCCTCCAATTTTGTTGCTTATTGAATTTTTTTTACCAATAAGAAAAAATTGGAGGAAACATAATTTCTATGATTCAAGAATGTTCAAATAACCTTCACATATTCTTGCACCGTCCACTTATATCACATATTTGACATCTAGAAGTTACATGACAAAACGTAAAGAACACAAACCGTAGGTGGCGTAACCAGTAGACGCAACACCGCCGGTGAGAGCTGCAATGAGCCCGTACTTGAGAAAACTCCATCCCTTCTTCTCTGTTCCGATTTCCGCTGCTGCTGGTGGAGGCGGAGGCGGAAGCGGAGGCGGCGGAGGAGGAGGAGTGTGAGGTGGTGGAGGTTGATTGTTGAGGATAGATGAAGCGGAAGTTATTGGTTCTTTGGCAGGATCTTTAACGATGTTCGATGAAAAACGTCGATTTTTCTTCAAAATGGTAGAGAAAACCCTAGATCGAACTATCGCAGACATTGATGATCTACTTTTATTCAGAGAGAGAGAGAGGGGGGGGGGGGGGGGGGGAGGGTTTTGTAAGGGTTTTTTGCGAAAATGAGCAGTCTTTATGGGCCCCAGTTGGTTTGGACCCCAAGTAAACCCATGCTCCTAAACAAATGTGTTCATAAATCGTGGACAGAACCCTAAATGCCCTATGAAAAAAAAGAAAAAACCCTAAATGCCCTACTGTGAGGGTCTTGTCGCATATCATACTTCAACAGGAAATAGAGATTGGTTACGCATATGCGCGTATTACCCAACAACAGTGTTACTTTTTGGATCAAAAAGTGGCGTTTGATAAAACTAAATATTAAGGCTGTGTTTGTTTTGACTGTAAAATATTTTTTTTGGAAATATTTTTTTTTAATAAAATATATTTTTATTTTGACTGTAAAATATTTTTTTTGGAAATATTTTTGTATTAATAAAATATTTTTTTATTTTTATTATGTAAGTGTTTGGCAAACGGAGCCTAAATAGTAAAAAAAAATTTAAGAATTGAATTTTAAATGCTAGAGTTTTTAAGTAATAATTAAAAATAAATATTTTTTAAAATTAATAACATTAGTGATATCTCTTTCACTTAAATTTTTATCTTATTTTAAGAGGTGTTTAGCATTTTTAATAATATTCAAATTACATTATTAAACACACTTAATTGAATAAGTCCTTAATTCGTTCAAAATTAAGCGCTGAATTGAGTTATCAAATAATACTATTAAGTCTCTAATCCATTAGTATTAGAGCAAGACTTAGTCTTAGATTCATTTCATGTCAAGCACCCGTCTTCGCTTGGGAAGTGCTCGGATCTATACCTAGTAGGCAAGATAATCCAACCGCAACTAGGTTCGACTGAACCTTTCAAGACTCATTGAATATACTCATAAAATTTTCGTTTTTATATGACTATTGATAGAATTAGTTCAACGAATGTCAGGTTTTAGTACCATTAAGTTACTACTATAGTCTAGACAATTAAAAATGTTATACATCAATTTGCTAAAAAGCAGATGTTACTATACAACCTTTTTATAAAAATAAGAAAATAAAATTCATACCAACTTGGTAAAAATCATTCTTACTTACTAAACAACGGAGTTTGTTAAAATATTTTATATATATATATATATATATTAAAAGTATAAAGTATTTCAGTACATTATTGAATTTTAATATTTTTATACATTAATGATTTAATACAGTGATATAGCAGAAAGAAATAAATTGTTTCAAATCATTTAGTTGTATTCGAGACTACTTTCACTTTGAAGTTCAAACCTAATAGACTAATTTAGTTGCATCAAAATTCTTATATCTTCTCACTCTCAAATCTCTAGAGACTTTAAAAATTTAATATTACATAAGTAAATTGTTACAGGTAGATTTTGTCTCACATTGAATTTGGATGAAAGTTGAAATATATAAAAATGGATAAGTATGCATCACTACTCAATACTTTAAGTTTTTGGATAAATTGACAAACGTCTATCATTACAGATATTAATATCAAAATCAAACCCAATTCTTAATCCGCTAATGTTATAGTTTGACTAGAGCGCCTGGACAAGCGCCCACCCTTATTTACATAAAACGACTATAGACTTTTTCTCAGATTGTTGTTGCTCTTCCCTCTCAAATTCATTTTTTTGTCCCTCTCTCTAAATATCCTCTAAATACTTGCACTCTCCGGCCTTATTTTCTCTCAATATATCTCTCTTTCATAACACAGAAGCGCGCACACTCACACATATATATATATATATCTTATTTTGTGAGCATATTAATAAATCAAGGGATAAAAACAGTATTCATTCAATTTTTTTTTTTTTTTTTACATAAGTATTTATTTATTCATTTTCTTTTACTGTTATTATTCTCTGCTCATGTTTATGAGGGATATTTGAAAAGTGATGGTTGCGGAACAATGCAAATTCTAATGTTGACTCGATGTGATAAAAATAAATTAATGTACTAAAACCACTATAAATTAATGTGCTAATGTTATAGTTTGACAAGAGCGCCTGGACAAGCGCCCACCCTTATTTACATAAAATCACTATAGACTTTTTCTCAGATTGTTGTTGCTCTTCCCTCTCAAATTCATTTTTTTGTCCCTCTCTCTAAATATCCTCTAAATACTTGCACTCTCCGGCCTTATTTTCTCTCAATATATCTCTCTTTCATAACACAGAAGCGCGCACACTCACACACACATATATATATCTTATTTTGTGAGCATATTAATAAATCAAGGGATAAAAACAGTATTCATTCAATTTTTTTTTTTTTTTTTACATAAGTATTTATTTATTCATTTTCTTTTACTGTTATTATTCTCTGCTCATGTTTATGAGGGATATTTGAAAAGTGATGGTTGCGGAACAATGCAAATTCTAATGTTGACTCGATGTGATAAAAATAAATTAATGTACTAAAACCACTATAAATTAATTTGCTAATGTTATAGTTTGACTAGAGCGCCTGGACAAGCGCCCACCCTTATTTACATAAAACCACTATAGACTTTTTCTCAGATTGTTGTTGCTCTTCCCTCTCAAATTCATTTTTTTGTCCCTCTCTCTAAATATCCTCTAAATACTTGCACTCTCCGGCCTTATTTTCTCTCAATATATCTCTCTTTCATAACACAGAAGCGCGCACACTCACACATATATATATATATCTTATTTTGTGAGCATATTAATAAATCAAGGGATAAAAACAGTATTCATTCATTTTTTTTTTTTTTTTTACATAAGTATTTATTTATTCATTTTCTTTTACTGTTATTATTCTCTGCTCATGTTTATGAGGGATATTTGAAAAGTGATGGTTGCGGAACAATGCAAATTCTAATGTTGACTCGATGTGATAAAAATAAATTAATGTACTAAAAAGTTCTAAATGTAGAGATTCATGAAGTCGCTACATAATATTAGATTATTGTAAGTCACTTTAAATATATATATATATATATTACGAAATGTGATTTTCGAATAATTTCTCAGAATGATTTTTGAAAAGGCCTTTTTTTAAAAATAGTTTCATGTAAGTCATGTCACGGTAATTCATGCGATTGGAGTTCGATTGTATCAGGAGAATGTCTTAGGTACTCCTGAAGCGTCCACAAAATATTATGATTATCACATTCTGAAATAATATTTTTATATATTTTTATCCTTCGAAATTTTAGAAAAAATTGCAACCAGTTTGAAAAAATATTTTTGTTTGTTAAAGAATTCAATGTTTATCCTCTTTGTCTGATTGTAATTTTAAGTTTTGGAAAAATCATGAAAATTGAGTTTTTGGTCTTCTCGGGACTTTAATGATGCATGAGTTTTTGAAAAAAAATACATTAAACCCCGATTAAATGAGGAAATATAGTACTGTAATTTTGGAGAAAATTAATTAATTTTGCATTCTCTACTTACTTATATTTCTTCATTTAATTGGATATGATTTTTTATATATAAAAAATAACATATGAATTTATAAAAAAACATGATTTGTCCCGCGACGAATTTTGATAGGAGTTGAAGTGTTGAATCGGTGTCACGCCAAGCTCCCACGTAGGGCATCTGGGTTTGGACCTCGGGTAGGCAGGGTGGCTTGGCATTACTCGGATTTGGGTGCGAGAGAATGTTACAAGTGGGACTTCTCCACATCAGGAGTTGAAGTGTGTATACAGGGGCACAGCTCAATCTAATTTGAAACCTTAGGCGGAAAATAAAAAGTGGCCTTTTTAACCATATAAATAAAATTAGTCACAACTCAAAAACAAAATATAAAAATATATATACACACACAAATTTATAATAACAAAAGTTAATAAATTTAAAAATAATTAAAGAAAAAGAACCATTAAACCTAGTTTAGAAAACCCAAATCTAATACTTCTATAAATTTTTTAATAGAATAAAAAAAAACAAAAAAAAACGTTCATAACAACTGTAAGAGCATCTCCAGCGGTCTGTTGAAATATATTTTTGTGTAAAATATACACTGCCACCTATGATGTGTAAATTTTTTTCATTTCCAACAGTTTATTAAGATATATTGCCATACCACCAATGTGTAAAAGGGTTGTATATTTTACACAACATTTTTACACTACCGGATCAACATATTTCATTTTTTATCTCTCTTCTTGTTCCATTAAAAAATCAACCATATATTAAGTAGTTTTGTAAAAGTTATGTGGGGTCCTTACATGATTCATGGTTGATTGTCATTGGGAGATATATTTTTACACAAAAAAGTATAAAACAACCATTAGAGTTAAAATTAAATAATCCAAAATTTTTGTATAAACTCATCATAACACATCAGATTTATAAAAAAAAATAAAAAAAATACACAACGGTTGGAGATGCTCCAAACTTGTGACGAGAGTATAAGGAGAAGAAGATAAAACATACTAAAAAAATAAATAAATATGGAAAGTTTTTGCTACTTTTCCAAACAACAACGTATATTTAATATTTTGTTAGTATAACTTATCTAAAAATATTTTTAATGCTGGTGTAAAAAATGTGAATGAGAGAGAAAGAAAGAGGGGAAAAAAATATTTATCATACAAAATTTTGAGCTTAGTATTAAATTTCTATATTGGTTAGAATTTAATTTAAAGCGTGAATGAGAGCAAAAAAAGGGAACAAAATAAGTCATATAATGATGTAAATTTTTGGGGGTCAATATTAAATTTATATATCAATCAGAGTTCAATGAATGAGGGAGGAGAGAGGAAAGAGAAAAGAAGAAAAAATTATTTTAAGATATAAATATTTAAGGCTAATATAAAATCGGAATGAATAAATGAGGAGAAAAGAGAAAAGAGAAGGACTAAGTTATTTTAGCATATAAATATTTGAGGTCTAATATAAAATTGAGTGGGGAAAGGGAAAAAAAGAAGTTATTTTAGGATTTAAATCTTTAAGACCTAATATAATTTTTTTATATTTATTAGAGTTTAACAATATTAGCAAATAATTATAGTATAACTTAATATAAGAAAATTTTAAATTTTTGGACCTTCTTATTGGCTGGGGCTTTAGGCAAAATGCCTAAGGCTCGAGCCGGTCTATTTGTATAAATAAATGAATATGCAGCAGCAGTGCTGTCTAATAACTTAAGCTTTTTGAGTAAATGAGTAAGCGGCCACCCGTTATAACTATGGCCTTCGATAGTCCCAAGTATAGAGTTTAGAGTCATCCTCGGACAAGAACAGAAAAAAAAAAAAAAAAAAAAAAACTAATTTATTTTTACAATGTTGTAATGACATCACTTCTTACATAATGACGTCAATTAATAATTAGTGGGATGTGTTTGACAGTTCAACAATCTTACTTCCTGTCATTACCCTTATTTTTATCCTAAAAAATTAGGAAAATTTATCCGGCCAAAGTTTTGTTGTAATAGTGAACTTGTAAAAAAAATGGGGGCAAACCCAGATTGGGACCAAAATAATTTGAATACCAAAATAATTTGAATAATGAATAGAAAGATGGGTTATATGTGTTCGGTCATGTCAATCGCTCTGAAACCCAAATAGCAACGAAACACAATTCTTCAAAGAAGCCCGCCACATCCACTCTTTCAATCCTGGAGAACTTTACAAATGCAATCGGGAGGTGAATCACCTGTAATTCCCTCCGTTTCGGATTCAGATTGGGACAAACCCTTCACACACCAAGAACTCGAAGCAATCGAAGCCGCGTTTCAATCCGCAACCTCCTCCTCATCTCCGATCAAGCGACGCCGCCGTTCTCCGATTTGTAGCGATGAGGACGACGGCGCTGGCTTTGACCGCCGCAAAAATATCCGTCGGTTGCCGGATTCAATCGCCGGTGGCTATTGCTTAAAAAGTGAAAGCAATTCGATGCAATTCCCGAATTCATTTTCTTTCGCGCGTTGTCGGCGAAATCCACTCCGCAGTCTTTATCACTCTTCCTCTAAGGGTAAATGTTTTCTTTACTAACATTTTTTCAATTACTTTTTGGACTGTTTTCGATAGAGTTGGAGTCCATTATTGGTTTTGATGTCCATGTGTGTGTGTGTGTATATATATATATGATGCGCAATTGAAATTGGATATTTGGTAGTTTTGGTGCCATCTTTATCATTTGGGAACACTGATACTGTAAGCAAATATTTGGTATAGTGGTACATTACCATATTGGGAACTCACTCTTTCAGTCTTTCCCTTGTCCTGAAAAAAAAAAATTATACATTAGGATAGTTTTATGAGTTCAAATTACAATAAAATAACTTGGATGATATCAAAGAATTTTTTTTAGCATGGTATGAAGTTCCATTTGATATAGTGACAACTCTGGCAAATCATCTCAGCATTGCTGGACTCTCTTCGTTTGGATAGAGTCATTTGGAAAGAAAAGAAAGGAAAGGATAGTGGAAATTGTGTTTGGGTAGTTTTTAGTGTAGAGAAAACAAAAGATTGGGAGGGATAGAAAATGGGAAGATTTGGAGGGAAAAGATATTGGGTTAAGTAGTATTTTCATAATCTTAAAACTACCCTCTTATAACATTTGACTCATATCTTTTAAAATTTTATAAAAAGGTTATGATATTAATGTAGTGGTTATCCTTTCTTTTCTTTTATCTCTTCTGCCTGTTCCAAACAAGAATACTATGTTTTCCTTTCTTTTCCTTCATAATTTATCCAAACATGAATAGAGGTTATTGCTATCATTTCTTTTCTTTTCTTTTCTCTTATAACTAATGGTATCATTTATTTTCTTTTCTCTCATCTTCATCCAAACAAAGACATAGTAACAGGAGAGAAAAAGAGAAGCTTGATGTTGTGTCTTTTACCAGATATGTCTAATGTGGGTCACTTGAAATGACTTTGTTTCGTGAGGTGACTTGTGAGACATGAAAAAGAAAGGAGCAAGATATGACCACGATAAGGAATTGCAATTACATTTATTGGTGGAAATGAGGAAATTTAATTCAAAGAACCTTCATGTGTCTTTCTTTGATTGAGGGTCGAGTCAAAATAGAAATGGGTGATAGTCTAGATGGTTTTCTTTGCACTATTAAAGACACTAACACGAATATGATAAAACATGGATATGATGACACGTCAAATTCTAAAATAGATTTAAAGACACGGGTTGGACAAGACTATATAAAAATATAGAATTTTAATTATATACATCTACATATAAGACAACAATAGAACATCATTTTAATTTTCCAATTCCAAACTAAGAATTGAATAATTTGGAGGGTGAAGCTATGCAAATGTCATAATTTTTTTACTTTATATACAAAACTGCACTCTCTCCTATTGTGTTTGTTTCATTACATTTATATTCTTGTCCTATATTAATTTGTGTGTTAAATGTTTGACTTACCAATAACCATGTCTATGATTTCAATTTTTCATAAAGAAAAGGTTGGGACACTTGGGAGTTTGTTCATTTTAGTTCTAAGATTGATGGATATGATTTCTTTTAGGATGTGTTTATGCTACATAAGGCTTGTGTCTGGGATGTGTCATCCAAGTTTTTGAAATAGTGAAATTTATTTTTGAATTACAGACACATTTGTGATAATACCGGGCACGTGTCTAGGAGTGTTTGCAAAGTGTCAACATCTAACACTTGTTTGACATGGACACTAAACCTTTTTAGAAGTGTATGTTCTTATCTTTTGCAATATATGAAATCCGTAAGTGTCGGTTAGGTCTCCTTTGTAATGTTAAATAATTTAATATAAATTGAAAAATATAATGTGTCACAAACATGGATAGCAAAACATAAAATAGCATTACAAGGAAGATCACACTGATGACCTCAACCAGAAGTGGATCTAGATTTTGACAAGAGAAGTGAAAATGAGAGTGGTGATGAGAGTGAGAGGAGGAGAATAGTCCTGAGAGGAGTGTTAATAACGATGATGAGGAGGAGGAGCAATGATCATGACTTCTTTGTAGCTACTTTGCTTATTTTGTTATATTGCATATCCATGTTAGGACTTAGTGTGATGTTATGGGAAATTTCATTGTCAAAACCTTTGTCGAGCTGTAATTTTCTATTTAGTTGTGTCTTGTTGAGTTTCGTGAGGAGTAAATAAGAACACTCTAAAGACATTTCATAATCAGTCACTGAAGGACATGTAATAAGAACACTTAGAGATACAGTAACTGTTAGCAATTCTGGCTAACAGGATTAGGTTTTAACTCTTTGGATTGTTTCAACTCTAGACTAAGTCCTTGTTTTTCCTGTTCAGGTTTTTTACATAAAAAAATCCAGTGTCTTTGTACTTGCCTTTTACTTGTAATTATGCTATGTTTTTTTATGATTTTGTTTGATAATCATTTAAAAGTAAAAAATGGTGCATTGACTAAAGGCGACTTATTCACCCCCTCCCCAGGTTACTTCCAGAGGATCTAACTGGGTATTCCTGTGTCAATTTGTTAAACTATTATGTATTTTTAGATTATATTTAATAAACAATTATTTAGATAGTAATTGTTTAATTTTGATACATTTTTGTTAGTCATTTAGACCAATTCTGTATGTGTTAAATGGTATATTTTGTTTATTTCATGACGTGTTTTGTAATTCCTATTTTTCCTAAAATTTCTGTACTCTCTTTTATTTTTTATTTATTTTATTTTTTATTATTATTTTTTTAATTTTTTTATTTATTTTAAAACAAGGATTTTTGTCATTTTATCTAGCAAATTGTTGCATATTGCTGCGTATTGCCAGATACCAATCTATGATGTTCCCATCTAGTCACCTTAGCGGCTCTTGAATCAGCGATCAATATGACAACTTCAGTCTCGGTGATATTTGGAACTTTTTAAAAAATCTCATTATTGGGGTCTATTGTGTTTTTCCATTCCTGCATGCCTCTGGTATATACATATATTTGAAAAAGTTACTCAAAAAATGTAAAGAGCCACTGATACATCTTTGGTATTTGGCGAGCCAGAAAGCTATTAGTTTCTGAATGGGAGGTAATAAAGTTAATTACTTAATTAATATTATATATTTTCTATTAACTTGTGGAAATGTGCTCCTATATAGTATTGCACAAATGGCTGTTCAGATTGCATATCAAACATGATGGTTGCTGTCTCAGTTATTTGCTGGCAAACTGCAAAGAAATGTATTTCATGTTTTTGTAGCATTAAGGCATTTTCTTGTGTCTTTCTTCGACAAGACTTTGAAGATGAGTTTTACTATAATTGACCTTTATGTATATATATATATATATATATATATATATTCTAATCTCACTTTAATGCTTCCTCTCCTCCTCCCTCCCTTGTTTTTTTATCATTCCACAGGCACTTTGAAACTATTTCTCTGCATTCTTTTAAAAATAAGAATAAAATAAAATAAATAATTTCACATTTCTTTAACACTCTTATCCAAAGCTTTTTTTCAGAAATAAGAAAAAGCTTTAGTGACACAATCTTCTTTGTGTTCCCAGTATCAGCTAAGACTGCTAAGTTAACAATGAGATATCCCACATTGAATTTTGGAGGTCAAATCCTGTATAGCAGAACAGTTGCTGAGGTAGATAAAGCTGCAAAGGAGCTTTTAAAGTTTGTTGAATTTAAGAAAAGTGAAGTGGGTCGGGCCGTTCTTGGATTTGACATTGAGTGGAGACCAACATTCAGAAGAGGTTGGTTCAATAAACAGAAAATTCTTATTTTCATTTGATTTAGTATGCATATTTTGTATGATATTTGCCAGTTGATGCATAAGGATTATTGAATATATATATATATATATATATATATATATATTTTAATTTTCTTAACCTGCTACTTAAGCCTGAATTTTTACTTCTTTAGGTTGGCTAATTCATGGATATGTTGGATGGCTGAATTTAATTTCTTTTTGTTTGATCTTTTTTGTTTCCTTTCCCGTTGGATAATTTTGTGTGCAGAGTTCAAAGAATATTACATTTTATTAATTTTGAGATATTATAACTTGACAGTGAAATTGTTAATTTCTTTTATTTTCTTTCTATTTTTCTTTTCTATATTGTTACTATTATTTTCGATAAAATTATATTTTCACAATTCATTTAAGGTTGTATTTTATTATGTTTCTTATCTTATTATATCAATTCAAAATCGTGTGAGTTATACTGGGAAAATGCTTCCTAAGAAAGCAATTTGGAAGAAAACAAAGTATACACTTAGTCACATAGTTCGCATCTGAGGGTCACGCTCTCAAGCTCCGCACGCGGATCGGTAGATTGGGAGCAAAATCGTGCAAAATTCGCGATTTGTTTATCTGAATTCGCGAACTCGTTTTTTTGAATTCGCGAATATAATTCTTGAAACCGCATAATCATATTTGTTCTTCTCTTGCGGCTCTTGCCCCTTTACTAGACCGATTTGGGCTTTTTTGCAGTCCAAATGCAGATTTCAGGTCGCTCATCTTCCTTGGGAGAACTTCATCAGTTGAGCATCGCACCATTGGAAAGGTCTAAATATGCAGAATTCAAGTAACAAACTAATACTCACCAGATTGAGGCTTGAGTATTATGATTTGTAGATGATTGAAGAGTGCATACCTTCCTCTTCACTGTTATCAACCGGATCTGGACAAGGCTGCTTTCTATGGGAGTGACTTTGTCTTCACAAGAAGACTCATCCACCGGAGCAGGATCGAGCGTTGGAGGCTTTTCCTCTCTCTTCTAGAATGTTGAGTAACTTTGCCTAGGGTTTTCTAGACTATATAATACTGTAAATTGTCTTTTGTCTCTTGGACCAACCGTGGATTGGGGAGGGCTTTTGGCATGGCGATCTGGGTTTTGGGTTGGGCTTTAGTCATAGCCCTTTGTTTTTGTTCATATTTTGGCTGGGCTTTGCCCTGTGTATATTTTTAATTCATCAATTATATATATATATATATGACTACTCCATAAAATTTATTTAATCAAAGTAATAATAATTAAAAATTTGATTATTTTTGAATAATTTCAGAATAAAAATAATAAAATATAATATGTAATAATTAAAAATGATAATATATGAAGTGAAATAATTACATAAAAATAAATATACAGCAGTTCTCACAGCGTTCCCGCTCTCAACTAATTTTAAATTTGCTGCTCTCGCGCTCCCGCTCCCGCATTATGTGACTTAGAATATATATGCAAATTAAAAAAATATTTATTCCCAAATCTCAGTCCACGTGGAGAACATATTGTGGCTTAGCCTCTTAGGCAAACTTTTGAATGGATTTTAATTTTTTGAGACCCAATGCATTTTCCACTTTCTCTTCCCATATATATTTTTTATAACTCCTATTTCCGTCATGACTAATAGATTTTATTATCTATATATTTTGATTGCATCTTTTCTTTTTTGCTGGATAGAGTTAGGCTTTATTGTATAAATAATACAATGGTATGAAATTTGTGGAAATATATTTTTACTTCAATGTCAGGTGAGGATTAGACTAGTGGAAATACGATTTGAATTTTAGATCTCACCAAAGTATGAAAGAATCATTTTGTTTCTCAAGCATTTGTGTAATATCGAATGGTTTATGTGATTCATAGTGATATTCCATGAATAGTAGCAACTTGGTTGGTCATAGTTTGGGAAGAGCTTCTGAATCTGGAATCCTTGAGAATAGTGAGGGTGTTTCCTGCATATATGAATCCAATAGTAGTTTTAATACTAATGATAATAGTGGCCTTACTTGCTCTCTTGTACACTTGGATTTCTACACTTCAACACGACACTCAAATGGAAAAGATACTTGTATTACTACAGATAATAGAATGCAAGGACTAGAACTTATAGGTACAACACTTGTTACCAATGGAGAACCAACACTTTTTAAGTAAATTACAATAGAATAGAACGTATACTCACTCTAGTGATACTCCAGCTATTGGGGCTTGTTGGTCAAATGGACCCTCACCTCTTGTATAGGCACCCACTTTCACTTTGAGTGGTTAGCATAAATATGATGAATGTCTAGGTACCTCCATGCTTGCACTCTCCTTTTGATTCTAATGCACTTAAAAGAGCGACTCAGCAGGGGATACAATTCAATAATATGAATTCTTTTCTATGAGAGCTTAATTTTGCCAGTGGTTAGACTTCTATTATTGGATCATTACTAAAAGAGACCTAAATGCTGTAGGTGTTTCGCCCGGGAAGGCTGCGGTTTTGCAGATATGTGGGAACAAGAATTTTTGTTACGTGATGCACATTATTCATTCAGGAGTTCCTCAGAGTTTGCAATCTCTTCTCGAGGATCCTTCATCTGTGAAGGTTAGTTGATCTGTAAACTCAAATAGTTCTGATTTTGCTACAAGTAATGTCTCAACCTTTCATAAATTCTACATAATTTATATTTATCTAGTGTGAACTGCTTAACTCAAGCACAGGTTGGAGTGGGAATTGGAAATGATGCTGTTAAGTTTTTTAAAGATCATAACGTATCTGTGAAAGATTTGGAAGACCTGTCTGCTCTAGCAAATCAAAAGCTTGTTGGAGATCCCAAGCAGTGGGGTCTAGGATCACTGACTGAAATGGTTATCTGCAAACAGGTTATTTTTGGGGCTCTTTATTTAATCAGTATTCTTTGCTCTCTCCTATTTCTAATTCTGTTTTGGCAAACCATGATGGGTGACTCAATAACTGGGGATAACTGGTTTGGTTCCCTGTTTTAGTGTTATTCATTTCCTTTTCCATTTATTTTCGTAATGTTTCGAATTGTTCAGAACATAGTTTATCTGATATTTATTGAGTGAAGTTCACTGTTGCTTTTCATGTAGTTGTTCATTGTGCCATAATTCATGGTAAAGTGCATGCATAACCTCTCTGTGCCAAACTTGATAGACATAACTTAAAATAACCCGTATTGGTTGCTTATGGAAAACGTCGATCACTATCAATTACAATATTTTATTCTGATACTTTAAACAGGGCTTTTCTAATGGAAAGATTCCGTTAAATTTGTAATGCCAAGTGCCGTGGTTGAGATTAATAGGCACAAGGATAGACTCTGCAATAGCTTATGAAGACATTGTTGACATGATCACCTAGGCGTTTGCTTTGATATAATATCTTTTCACATATGAATAAGCAATGCCGTTGAAATTTCTAATGTTGTTCCTTGAAATTCCAGAGTTTGTTTAAGGAATCAATTAAGTCGGTCCATTCAGCAATACTCTTGCCTTACAAATAACGTTTTGTTTTCTAGAAGCTTAGACTTGCTCGACGTGTTACTGCATTATGACTTACACTTGATTGAATGATGGTGTCTAAAATATGACTTTAGCTACTTGGTTTCTCAGTTTAAGGCCATCATATGCTTTGCAAATATACGCAAGGATTATTGCCATCAGGTCTAATCTAAGTTTCAAAAATGTTGCAGATTCAGAAACCCAACAGAATTAGACTGGGAAACTGGGAGGCTAATGTTTTATCACAGCAACAACTACAGTATGCTGCCACAGATGCTTTTGCTTCTTGGTTTCTATACGAGGTAGATGGATCGTCTTTTTCTTTGTTTTCTAGTTACATTACTGTCGTTTCATGGGTGAAGAATATTTTCTTCTTGACATTACTACAGGCGCTGAAGAGCCTCCCAGATGCTGCTGTTAGCAAAAGTGAGGAACCGTTGGAAGCGACGCCACAATGATCTTGCTGCTATCACCATCAATCTTTACCATATATTTGGATAAGAGCCATCTTGAAATTCCAGAGTACAAGACATGTTCCTGAGTTTGTGAGTGATTTCCTTCGGTTCCCTTCAAAGCAGTGACTGTATCGGACTCCCAGGCCTTTCCTAGAATGAAATCCAAGCAAGTGGGAATCTGTTTCCTTGCTCGAATCTATAAGAAGTTTTGGTAAAAGGAGGAAGACCCGCGACTTTGCCCTAAGCATTTTCTTTTTTTAGCTTTGGATCAGAGCATTCTTCAGATCCCCTTCAAAGTAAGCTCTTTATCTTTTTAATCCTCTTTGTAGAAGAAATATTTATTGAATGACAATCTTATGGGTAGATGTTGTTTCATGGGTTCGAATCGTAAACGGGTTTACACGATTAACCCGTTTAATTAATCGTGTCGTATTTGGGTTGAGAGGTTCAACACGTTTAACTATACATGTTATAAATAAATTTCTATTTAAGTTTCAAAATAGCTATCTAAATTTGTATCTTATAATTTATTCATTTGTAAATTAGAGATTATTTGGATTGAAACTTGTATTTTTTTTTTTTTAATATTTATTGTTTAATTGAATATTATTAATAATTTAAATAATATAATGTTTCGTTTTATTAATAGATCATTAAACGTGTTACACATATAACCTGTTTAATAAACAGGTCGGGTTAGTGTTGAGAGCTTTTGATACGACTATTAAACGGGTCGTGTTCGGATTGAGTTGTTTAGTATAATATCCTTAGGTCGACACAATACTATTAGGATCCACAAACTTGAATTGCTACCCTATTGAATGTAGATTAAAGGCATAAATCGCCTATGTATTACGGATATTGTGCATATTACACCATTGTCGTCAATACTGCAAATGAACAGACTATTTGGAACATCTCGGGCGCCACTCAGAATCATTCACTAAGTAATGAGTCGAGCCAGGAGTCATTTAACAAACGAGCCCAACTTTAACAATATTAAGTTCGGTTTACGAAGGTAGTTGACATACTCATTTACATAAGACCCATTATATTTAAAATGTTATATTTGGAAGCCTCCCATAATATTCAAGTTTAGTTTTTGTCACTTTCATTAGTCCGGTTGGTAGGATTTACATTGCGGAAATACAGGCGGCCAATTTTTTTTCCAAAAGGGCCAAATTGGTAAATATAAAATTTAAATTTAAAAATAAAATAAAATTGTAATGATTTTTTTTTTTTTTTTTTCAATGCATTTTAATGTATATCTTTAAAAGTCTACAAATGATATAGAATAAAAAATGACGAAAAAGAATGGTTAACCATCCATGAATTGAATTCTAATATGTACTCCTTATATTGTAGCCACCAGAGTTACAATAATAATTAACAAGTTTGATATTAGATTAAAATTTTAAAAGCGAAATTAAAAAGGTTCATTTAACTTAAAAATAAAATAAAATAAATTCAAACTATCGTTATTAACTAGATAGATAACCATAAAATAAAATAAAAATAGAAAAGAAAATTTAAAATTTTGGAATGGCCAAGAAATTAAATTATATTTGAGTAACCAAATTTAAACAAAATTGCTGACCATAAAGTAAAAAAAAAAAAAAAAAAAAAATGAATAATGATCGAATCTAAAAGTTAAATGCTAATGAGTGATCATTTAATGTTTTATTACGTAAATGTCTTTATTATAATAAATTATTTTATAATTAACCAAATTTACCCGCCCATTCTTTTTTCTGCAGCTCAAATTTGTGAAAGAGCTGGGAAAATTATTTTCATGGCTTCTGGTTCTATTTTTAGCAGAATTCCAATTAAGTCTTTTAATTGGCCTACATTAGTAGGAATCATACTTCTTTTCAACTTTTTATAATCTTATGTTCCCCACTTTTATTTTATTTTTCTTTTTTGAAAAGAAATAAAAAAAAAAATGTTTTTAAAAGTACACTTACACTCTGATTATATAATCAACTCAACTTAACAAAAAAATTTCTTTTCAACGATTTAAAGTTGGCTACATGAATCTTGTTCAGAGGGCCACATATGATCCAATGAAAAGGTCAAATTGTACAGTTGGAAACCTAATACTGAGTGATGTGAGAAATGACACTAAATTTTGTTATTTTTTAAATTAATACGTATTAGATTTGATTTAGGTCATATGTTTAAATTTTTAAATTTATTATAAAATTGAACTGGACTTGGACTTTTATTATGTTGGAGGTCCAAAGAAAATAATCATGTTAAAAGATTAAGAAAAAATTACCATGGCCACAATTACGACAAAGTAAAAAAAATATTTAAAAGTTGCTATATTATCACCTAAAGGTTATGCAGAGAATAATTAAACCTATCACTCACTCTTATTCATAAATGTCATGCCACTTGTTCTGTCATTTGACCTTGATGATACTAGAAATGACGAAATTTATAGGGATTTTTACGTATGCCAATTGTTCTGTTATTTTACCTTGATGATACTAGAAATGACGAAATTTATAGGGATTTTTACGTATGTGGTGGTAGCAGAAGTATATTATTAGATGATTGACTAGTTTGTATATTTACTATTTCATGAACCAAAAGTGGAGAGTTACTAATTGAACCCCTTTTATAAGATAAAATTATATTTTTGCCCCTAAAGTTTATTTTATGCACAAATTATCCAAAGAAGAACTTCTAGCAATTCTAAAATATTTTTAAATAACACTTAGGAACTGTTACATTTCACGAGAATCGGAAAATGCAACATATAACCTTCAATGAAGAATAGAAGAACTTAGATCTAGAATTATTCTTACACAGAATATTCTAGAAGTTAGATGACAAAAATTTTAGTTAGGTTTATGAACAGAATAAATTTTAATAACTTAGACACCTCGATAAAATGACTCGGAGAAAACTTAGATTATATTAAAACAATAGTTGAACAAAAGTCTAGTCCTGAAAACTTAGATAATTAAATTATAATTTTCGCCATTAAAGATATAAATAGTGATATAAAAGATATTGCAAAAAATCAAAAAATAATTATAGACAATTTAAAATCATTAAAAGAAGATATCCAAATGTTATTGTAATAATTTATGAGCATTAGTAATCCTGATTACCTATAAGCATTATCTGAGCTCTATAAAATAGATAAAGAACTTATAGGATTTACAAGTTTTACGACAGATGCAAAATCAACCAATATATATATTAGACAAAACAACTTTTTAATCCAGTTATTACTCTAGCTATCAGAAAAAGTTAATAAACTCGAAGAAGGTAGAAGTATTACAAGAGAGTATTCCTAGAGAATCTTTTAAAGAAATAGCTGAGCTGAGCTCTCAGATAAAATAAAAGATTTAAAATTATCAACTAATCATTTCTCGACTAAAAGCACCAAGCCAATAAATCTATTACAACCATATAAAGAATGACCATTATTCTTAGCAAAGCCAAAGAAATAATGCGTGTACAAGATTTACATGATAATGAACAAGATATTCAAAATTATTTAGAAATAGGAATGAAGAAAGTATCCTATAAAGTTAATCTTTATTCCAATAATCTGTTAGATTTCTAGAGTGTAGACACTAAAATTTAGGGGGCTTTGGTTTTAACGAATGGACCCATTAAATATAGGCCTAATGTTTAAATAAATTATTTAATTTACCAGGCTTGGTCCACTTAAATTATTCAATTAGCCCAGCCCAGATAATTAAATGAAACGATAATTATTCCTAATAAAATATATTTTGAATAATTATCTTTAAGGATAATTATCACAATATAACCGGTCCGGCCCAGTTATAGTTTTATCCTTATCAGGAGATGACACGTGTCATCATCCTATTAGTCCAAGAAGCCTATAAATAGAGGCTTGGAGGAAGAAAAAAAAAGGGAGAGGATTCAGAATTCAGAAGTCTACAAATTCAGACACAAATTCAGAATTCAGAAGTTCAGAGACTCAGAAATCCAGAGACTCAGAATTCAGACACAAATTCAGAATCGAAACCCAAAAGCAAAGAACATCAAGCACATCCAACAACGTGCCGTTCTTCATCAAATTCCACAGTGATTCAAGAACAAGCTCGTGCAACCCTTGGATCCAACCAACCAAAAACAAGGAGATCGAATCAGAGGACCATTCTTTGATTGTAAAAGATATTACAAAGGACTGTACTCCACATTCATAAATTAATAAAATTGATATTTGTTCCATATTTTGTTTCTATTGCAGACTTACAAAATTTGTGTGTACAAATTTGTGGCACGCCCGGTGGGACCACCTTTGCCTCTCATCTCTTTCTCCTACCATCAAGTTTCTTCTCTATCAAATTCTATGGCTCCCCCTAAGATTCAGACAGACAAGAAAGCCCAAAAAAACATCGCTATTGCAAAGGTCGACGCTAAAGCCACCATGAAAAGTGGCACGAAGACCAAATTAATCGATGGAAGTACCTTGACGGGCCCTGTGACACGTAGCAAGTCCCAGGCGATGGCGTCATTCAAACTTCAGTAAGATGTGGTGAAAACTAATCCTGCAACACCGGCGAACGTGAAAACTCAACATGTCAAAAACCTTGACATTGTTCCAGAGGAGGCTCCACCACCAGATTCACTTTGTTCTATCTATGATGCTCACTCTAGTGTCGGTTCACCCCCAGAGTCACCACGTCAGACTTCGGAGCAATCAATCACTTCAAGGAACGTGGATTCTCAAGGCTTATCATACTCAGATGTGGTTGCTACTATGATGACTGGAGCTGCTACGGTGGAGGAACAACTAGCAACTATGGCTCATTCCATTGAGAACCTCACAAAGACTATTGAAGAAAAGGACTTGCAAATCGCTACACTAATGAATAAATTAGAAGTTCAGACCTTCGGTGAAACACCAATGCCATCCAGGAATCGTGCAACTTTCACACCACCACCGTCTGGGAAACCTACATCTTCCACAGCAATACTAACGGAGAATCCTAATTCTACGGCACAAGGTACTCACAGGGAGAATCCCAAACAGACGCCGGTGACAGAACAAGTGACCAGTCAAAACCAGACGCCGGGGATAGAATAGGCGACTGGTCAAACCAATCATACCTCTTCTTCAGTCTCTTCATTATCTGTCGAACAATTGCAAGATATGATAGCGAATACAATCCGAGCTCAATATGGTGGTGTCTCACAGAGCACTCTCATGTACTCAAAGCCCTATACAAGGAGAATCGACAATATGAGAATGCATGTAGGATACTAACCTCCGAAGATTCAGCAATTTGACGGAAAAGGTAAGCCCAAGCAACACATTGCCCATTTTGTCGAGACTTGTAACAATGCCAGAACAGAGGGGGACTTACTAGTCAAACAATTTGTCCGGTCCCTTAAAGGAAACGCGTTCGAGTGGTACACTAACCTAAAGTCAGAATCAATTGATAGTTGAGACCAGATGGAACGAGAATTCTTGAACAGGTTCTAAGCACTCGTCGTACTGTTAGTATG